TCTCTAAAATTAGCCTTTTGAGTTGTGTTACCTTGCATCATTTTGCATGCCTATTTGAATCAAGACTAATATAATATAACCAGAGGATTTGAGCACATCCAACAAGTAGCCCTTTATTTTGTTTATACGAGAAAAGAGGAATAATTAAAATGGCTGGAGAAGCTGTTTCTATGTGAAAGCCATTAGAGCAGTCTGGACGGGGGTCATTTCTAAATGGTGATCTGAGGTCAGTTTTAGATTTGCCTACTAATGAGACATTAGCTTAATCTTCCAACTGAACAAGTGCCACCTCCTCCTGGCTGTGCTCTGGCAGCTCTTTCCAGCTCATATAACTCATCATCCCCAATCTGATTTTTTATTGCTGCTAACAAGTCTCCATGCAGCGCCCTCCATGGTATTTCTACCAATTAATTTTAGGGTCTGAATCTGTCAAAACTTTTCACAGAAATATAAGGGATCAGTTTGATTGTCTGACAATTTTTAAGCAAAGTGTCTTGTTAAACTAGCCATAGCTTTTGAAGTTCATTGTATTTTATTAGTCACATCAATGTGTTGAGTATCATCTCAATTTGTTTGAAACAATATACATCTTCAATGAAAACTATATACTGTGTAAATTATTCAGCAAAATAAATCTTGAATAGCTTTTATATGAAAACAGGACCCTTAATCTAATACTAATTAAATATTCTCCCTTATGTATCCACTACCAGCTTTGTATAAACTACACACACAGAGAAATCTATTGCTTTGCAAACTTAGAGTAGCTAGATTATCTTCCTGCACTGCCTGTGGTTTAATTCAATATGCTCAGAGATTATTTCACAGGTTCCTTCCCAGTACTGATGCTCAGAGGGAGCGATCTCCTCTAGTCTTGGAACGGTATAAGGAATCATGAGAAGATTCTTATCTAATGACCTCAACCTCCTAAAAGGGATATAGCGACACAACAAAGCTGTAATGTATGAAGGCACCCAACCATGGAGAGCTTTAAAAGTCAGCACCCAGATTTTAAAATTTAGGCAAAAAATCACTTGGAGCCAATGAAGAGATTTTAATATGAGGGTAGTATGGTCCCCTCTCACCCTAGCTGCTGCCTTTTAGTCCCTCTGCAGACAGGGCAGCGCCTCTTTATTTAGGAAAAAGAAAAGGGTTTTACAATACTCTAAATCAGAAGACATAAAAGCATGAATGATCAACTCTAGATAATCATAAAAAAAAATAAAGTGACATCGCTCTATCAAAGATAACCCCCAGATTTCTAAGGCTTGATTCAATAGATAAGCTCAGGTTGCACGGATACTGATTGATTTCTGGAATGACATTATCAGGAGAAATCCCACGCATCTCATTCTTGTCAAGGTTGAACAGCAGAGAGTTAGCCATTGCTTAATTTTTCCAAGGTTTCAAAGATCTTTCGAGTCCAATTTTTGAATATCAGTTGAATTAAAGGAGCAATAGAGCTGAAAATAATCTGCAAAAAGATGATTGTGGACCTCAGGAAACCCCTGAAAATATTACCAAGGAAATGAACTCATAACAGAAAGAGAAGAGGTCCCAACACAGAACCATTGGGCACTCCACAAAACAACGCTACAGGGTCAGAAATGAACTGGTTAGAACTGGTTTTGGCTTTCCATAAAAGCTGCAGTAACAATTGCTCCCATGATCAACAGGGTGAGTCATACCAAAGATATATATATATATATATGTAACAAAGTGTGAGAAGTTCAAATGAATTGCTGTAAACATTTAAATACTGCCAAGCCGCCCATGCATAATGGTGCATGATGGATGATTTAACTATGTAGGAGACTTTGGAACTTGGAGAATTATGGGGGAACAAATTTTCAGGGATCACAAATGTTTCCTGACCCACCAGACCCACACTATCGCTGTTCATTACATGTTAAACATGAGGTCACTGCACTTCCAATTTTCATTGATACCATTGTACTTAAAGGTTTAGGATATCAAGTGTGCATTGTCTGGATGCATTTTACATCTAGCTATTATCCATCCCACTGTGTGTACCTTAGAACATACTATATTACGATTCCAAAGAAATCTCAAAAACATTTACTGTGTAAGTTCATTACAATGGTAACTACTGAGACACTGCATGATGAAAAATGCCTGGCTGCGCACTTTGATCCTACAGCTGAAATGTCTCACAAAAACACCAAATAAAACCATACAACAAGAATTAAAGCAAGTTATTTGTGTTAATGTTTATTATGTTAGAACCAAACCATTAAAAGACAGAAAGGTGTTAGAAAGGACAGAGTAGCAGAAGGACTAATGTTAAACCAAAGCAGGACAATAATAACATGTCTGTTGTAGTAGCAGTCAAACAAAAATGGTTTTCCCTGAAGATACTATACACCGGACTCTCCTTGATGTGCGTCCCATATGAACTTTGTAAGGAGAGGGCAAAATTGATGCTTGGTTCATTCATCAACTTATTTAACCAGACAGCTAACTAAAGTGGATATTTTCCAAATAAATGACACCTATAATAACACAACATAACCTGGCTCTCTGGGACTTTTTGTAAAATGTTACCTTGCATCCTTCCTGATGTTATAGACATAAACCTCAATTGTTTCACTGCAAGGATCAGGTATTCTCGATCTGTAATTCAGTTCTTTTTTCCCACTGGTAGGATTTCAGTTGGCCTATCCTTCCAACATACATTTAGGTGAAAGCTGATCACTGGTGTCCTATTTCTAATGCACTTTAGATCTTTACTGTTTTTATTCTGTGTAGTAGAAGTGATGCAAGCTGACTGTCCCTTCATCTTAAGTCCTAAAGTCTCAGTCTCATATTGTTGGACTTAAAGTTAAGCCCCCACTGCATTATGATAACCTTTCTTCTATTGATATAGATTTATCCCCTCCTTTAGCCAGTGAGGCACCAGGGCTTTCTTTACACATTGCTAAACTTAGGTGTAAAGGCACAGACAAGTTTGTTGGTATCTTTGCAGCCGCCTGAAACAAAACTTTATTGCTCCTAAAAGCAGAGATTATGTTAATAAAAGTTTACATACTGTATATTACAATAAAACATTAGCTTTTTTTGTTGGATCTTTTAAACTGTGTTTAACCAAGCTGTTTGGGGAATAAACATTCTGCTGGGTTGTTTGGAAGGGTTTAATATGAATCACAACAAGCGAAAGATAGGAGAGATGAGAGGTTTCTGAAGATTTCATAACAAAGAATAGAAATCCTTACGTAGAGTAAAGATCGCATGATCATCTTCAATCAGCTTCAAATTTCTGCGACCTCTGCTGTCATAAATTTAAAAAGTATGATGTGCATTGAACTGTAGACAATTTCCAAACAAGGGGGCACAGTTTTGTTTTTTAGCTTGCTTTTCTGCATCTGACAAAGGAAACCCTGAATCTATGTACAGAAAACATCTGGAAGGATCCCTAGGGTGAAAAGCTCAGTTTAAGATCTGTGGTTCTAAATAGCTGAAAAACTCAATAATGGCTGTGGATAAAACAACAAAAAAATGACACAAAAAAAAATATTGGGGAGTTCTGTAATAGTCCTTGATGCACACTGGTCTTTTCAATTTGTGAAAATTCTATTGATATCATAGAGTACTGAACAAGGGAGCAAATGGAGGACCTGCTCCCTGTTTGTAAAAATCGGAGAGAAAATAAATTTGGCTTAGCTATTTTTGTCTAAGAAATTATATATCTGCCTGAAGTTTAAGACAGTTTTGTCCCTGCAATTTCGATCCGTCCTATAGATGGTAGAAGTGCCAATCTCTACTGTCTATTTGGACCATTTGCACATCCTGGACACATCATCAGCCAATTCTGTTATTTTTTATCACACCTTTTCTTGGATCAAAAATAGCTGATGATAAAATCATACTACATTGCATCCCAATCTCTCTCTTTCCTTTTGAGTGGCTTATCATAAAAAAAAAAAAACACAGTGCCACAAGAATCTTTCTTTAAAACTGAAATCGATTTCAAATGTGTTGTGATCTGTACAGCAATAGAGAAAGTTGAAGTAAAGTAAATAAATGTGATTTAGTTTATTAAAGAACTGTGTTGCCCCCGTCTTATTACTATAACTCAAAAAAAACACATAACAAAACCTTACAGGACATTGCTCAATGGAAACTACACTGACATAAGAACACATCCAGAATTCATCCAGTGTCTAGTGTGATGAAGCTCGCATTCATAGAAACATTACAGTGATGAATTTCTATCTAAACGAAATGTAAATCCTTGTATTACTCAGATTTTATAAGCATGAATATGAAACAAAGTAATGTAGGAAAGAAAAAAGTTATTATTTTGAGGTCAATCTAGAACTTCTAAGGCCCCTATACACCTATTAAGAAACGGAATGCGAGCAGGAATATATTATTTGTTAATTATAATCATTATATTAATAATAGAACTACAAGGTAAGTGTTGAAGGTTTTCTGAAAATAGATCCAAATATATATTATAAAACCTCCAAGCACACAAGCAAACCTTCAAGACACAACAGAGCTTCACTTAACCACTAGGTAGTTCTGAATTGTTTCTATTTGAACATTCAATTGTCTCAGGAAAAAGCAAAGACAATCACTTCCAAAAGTTAAAGCAAATGCCCTTTTCTTGTCTTACAGTAAATAGAATATTAAACTGTGTCAATAAACAACCAAAAAAAAAAAAAAAAAACGGATATAAAGGTATTCTAGGTTAAATCATTTAAAATATATAAAATGTTCTTTGTTTATTTTGCGAGGGTACCAATAATAAAAATCAGTCCTAGTCTGTAAATCAGTTTTGATCTTTGAATTGTAGCAGAATCAGTTTCGGACTATCTCAGTAAAATAATACTAACAGGAGAGAAACAGGAAAAATTGAGATGCTGACACACATTCTGTTTTTAACAGCTGTTTATCATAATAAGATGGCAACTTTCTCAAAATGCAATTAAAAAACGAACTGTTGAAAAATAAAAGGCAATAAGAGGGTACTTTACCATAATTGTTGTCACAACAACCGTCCGATTCTCCATCCCTGAGCTGTCATTGGAAAGACCATTTCCATCCTGTACCAAGACCAGCTTGTCGATGTCATTCCAGTAGCCAATCTGGGGAAAGATAGCAAAACTTCACTTTTCTAAAAAGAAAATGTATAAAGAATGGAAAAACATGAAACAACCTAAATTGAGATATAAAAAAGAGGTCTATGAGTTAAAAAATAAGCTGTATCCCTTTGTCTTGTGGATTTCCCTTTAGAGCAATGGTTCCCAACAGGGGGTACTCGTACCCCTTTGGTACGCGAGTGCATTGCAAGGGGTACATGAAAATATTTTTTTCTCAGGTAATAAAATAAAATAGGAGTGGAATGTGTTCTACTTTTTGAGGACCCAACTAAAAAATAAAACAAGCTTTTTTTCAACCAAACAATAAGTTATTGTTATATGTTTGAGTTTAACTTGAGCGAGAACAAACACCAAACCAAGCAGAGGAGCAGACTGAATGTAGAGAAACGCCTTATAGCAGCTGTTTTCCCACATCTGATCAAGGCAAGCTCAGGTGTCATGAATGATGAAAACAAAGTAAAACAATTCAAATCTGTCTGACTATAAACTATGTTCAGTATTTTGTTCCCAACCAAGTTTGTAAGTGATTAAAGAGAAGCTACTCAGAGGAGCTCCAGTTTTTTGAAGGCAGATTTCTTGTATTGTTTTGATTCATAGCTTCAGGGCAACATATTTCATGTTTTTTTAGTTTTTTTTTTTTTTATTTCAGTTGGAATAATTAGCATGCAAAATGATTAAATGCTCACGTTAAAAAATATTAAATAAAATACTTTTTTAATTTTATAATGAGTTATTTTTGTGCCACAAAAAGTATGGTTCTTTCCACTTATGGGCAGTCATCAATACTTTTGACTGAGAGGGGTACTCATGGTTAGCCAAAATTCCAAACGAGGTACAAAAGTCAAAAACGGTTGAGAACCACTGCTTTAGAGCAACACATGATTTGAAGTGAGGCATAAATGTCAAATAAAAACATATTACTGACATATGAACATCAAGATTCTTGAATTCATGACATTTAGTTATGTTTATTGTGTGCGTTTAAAATAATTTTTCCACAGTCTGCTTTACTGCTTTTTCAGATTTTGTTAAAGAGTAGAACAATTTTATATACCCTGGTTTAATGTGAGATACATGTGTACATTTAAAATCCCCATGAAGGCCATGCTACAATAGGTGGTTTGTTTAGGCATCTAGATAAAGCAGCTAATCATGAAGGCCTATGATTTCTGTGAATGATTTCTGTGAGTGATTGCTGTAATCAGCTGATTTTCCTTAGATGGAAAACTGGGAACCAATCTGACTCCATGATGTGATTGAATTGTCTATGTAAAGTGCCTTTAGATTACTTTTGTTGTGAATTGGCAGTATATAAATAAACTGAACAGAATGGAATAAAAAAATTGGATAAAAAATATGCTCACTACATAAAATCAGACACATTCAAAAATCAGATAAAGTAAACTTCTCTTGTCCAAACATTTGCCATAAAAAGGATTTTGGTCTTTCCACTTTCTTTTAGCATAGCTTAATAAGGTAATCCATAATCTCTATCCCTACAAGGCAAGTATCTGCAGTAAACATGAGATAAATCATCTGTTAAACTTTCTAAAACTTTTAATGCCACCAAATAAGAGCAAACCTTTCGGGGACCATTGCTTTTCAGTTCGAACACGTCCATTGTATAGTTAACCCGCCGTCCATAGTGATCAAACTGGATATTTCCAGTAAGGCCTTGGATACGCACCTAGATTTGAAGCAGAAACAATGTTAAGTATTGGTAAATAACTCAGAAGATATCACATTTTTTACACAAAATCTTTCTCTGACTAAAATTAAAAAGGCCTTTTTTGTTTACAACCACCCCTGAAGTCAAACAGAGGCTAACAAACAGCTCAAACTGCAACTCCCAGGATCCCTGGTAAAGATGTATTAAAATCCATAATCCATAATGCATGTTTTGTAAAAATCTAATCTTTACTTAAAGAACAACTACAGTATAGGCACACATCTAAAAATGGGTAGGACATGAGGACAAGCCAACAAAGAAGGGATGGTTTGTGTTTCTGCTTTTCCCTTAATATGTTTCTTCTTCATGAAATAATTTTAAGAAAATAACCAATAATGTTTGCAGTTCTTTACACACACAGCTCTAGTCATACAGTTCAAAATAACTTGGACTTGGACTAACAAGGCCAAACGAGGACCCTGATGTTTTATTTAAACAGAGCTCTTTGCTACAGAACTTCAGAGTAGCATTTTGAGTTACCCAGTCTTTATAACATCCATCACATGCCATCTACATGCCAACTGGTTGTTAGGGATGAAGAAAAAGCCTATTCTTCTTCTTTTTCCTTCCTACCAAAATCTCATAAACATTTGATGTTTGCAGAATGTTAATGAGACTATGATTGCAACCATTTGTCTCTTTTCTGGATGTGACAGTGACAGCAGCAAACTGTCAATGTGTGTCTAGTGAGCAAGAAAAAGTCTTCACTTGTATACGATGAAGGATCTGAGATGCTGAAGAACTATTTCTCTTCCAAAGTAAATTATAAAATTATATTTTTGGACAGAGGGTCTTTCACTAGAATATTAACCCAAAATATAAACCAAAATACACACAAAACAAAACCCATAGTGGTGGGCTGAAGAAAAACCAGAGAACCCAGGACTTGGAAATGTCCATAAACTGTACAAAATAGAACAAGAATAAATGATGATTATATACTTAATGTGTAAAGGCACTCAAGTTAAAGTTTTAATTTATGTTCAAGCGTGGAATTGGACAACTGAAATTAAAATAATAGGCGCTAATTAAATAATAGTTTTAATATTAAAATAAAAAAACTGTTATTTTTTATCAATTTGACACATTTTTTACCAAAAAGCTGCCACTTTCAAAGTGCCATTTAAAAAAATATGACAAAATAGCCATGTCTGTTACTGTTATGGTAGACATAGTTGTGCCTCAGTTCATCAGTGATAGCTTGATATACTTTTATTTTAATGCTCCATCTTTTATTACAAGTGTTTAATCAAATTTGCTGAATTCTGGAATGTGTTTGAAACACACATTACACAGGAAAGTTTGTTTTTTCATCTGAAGATAACTGGATTTAGATTCTTGGCGACATAAGTTTGATTCACTGTGGCTGCCAAAGTCCTGATAAAAACCAGTGGGCTCCAGCTTTGGGATCCAAGCCAGGGAGAGCAGCTGCAGCTGTGCCCAAAGCCTGCAGCTGGATACTACCACAGATCGGACTATTAAACGGAGCATTGAACATAAATGTTTCACATGGAGCGTCACATCTTGTTCTCTTTTTTGTCAGATTTGCAGTGTTCCTTTGAAATCACTAGCATATAATCAAAACCTGAAGTATCCTCTAAATATTACAAAGGCCATAAATGTGCATTTTACCAAGGAAGAAAGGTATCAAAGACTCCATGCATAAAAAAGTGAAGCAGTTTAAGCATGTCTTTTAATTTTCAGCAAGTTTCTAACTATACACCTTTGAACTTGTCCCAACCTGCTTCAGTGCTCGCTCCATATCTATCCCTTGGTTCCACGGAGCCGCTGGATTAGCAAGGCAGTCCCCAGCATTGCCACGGCGACTGATGTCGATTTTCTGACGGCGTAGGGTGCGAAAGGCCTCGGCCATTACAAGAACACCATCATACGTTAGTGATGAGGTATACTGTGAAATGCAAAGATACACAAAAAGGAGAAAAAAATTTAATTTTAAGAGTTTTTTGCTTGCTTTGTTTATTGTAAATCTGAAGTTATATGCCACGTATGAATTAGCTTTATTTTTCTGAATAAGCATGAGTAAAGTACAGCTGTTTATGGGACAGGCTTAACATTTATTTGACAAAACAATAAACCGGACTAAATTAGTAACTGTTACTTAAATTTGTAATGCAGCAGTTTTAAATCAATTTTACCATATATTTTTAACACTCTGTGTATTTTATTAGATGTTATAGGAAAGATCAACACAAAGCAACAGCAAATAGGAAGGAATGTGATTCATGATTTTAAAAAGTTGTTACAATTTTAAATTTAAAAAGAGCATTACGCATACTGGGTATAGGCAATTAAACCTGCAGGTCCTTCATATGAAAGGATCAAGGTTTTGTATGAAATGCTAAAATGTTTTTCAGCCTCCAGCTTTTTTGGAATGCCCTCTCTTGAAGCTGACTCCATAATATTTTGCAGTAGGGACAGTGCATTCAGGACCTGGTACTTTCTTAAGATTTCCATCACCTATAGTTATAGCGTTATCGCGTGATGGTAAATAAGTTACGTTTTGTTGTCCAGACCACCTTCCTTCTAATGCTTGTGCCCCATCCATGACTTGTGGCAGACCTTAAACAGGACTTAATTTTTATTTATTTATTTATTTTTTTTGTTTTGTCACTTTTCCACGACTTCCAGATTATAATGTCCATCTGACCAAGGTTTTTTAAACCTAACACCCAATGTTTTGGGTGTTTCCTTGCTGCTGCACACCTATTGTAAATAAATTAAGAAGCATTTTTCCTATTTTTCATATTTAAAGCTGGAAGGACAGTGGGTCACGGTTGGAAACCACTGGTGTTGACACTGTTCATGCTAGAGATCTCTCACTGGTGATTAATGCCTCAGTTGGACTTGTCTGGTTATTTAGGTGGTAACTCAACTTAACCTATTTTCAACTGATCCCTGGTCTGATCTTTGGGACATTGTTGTTTCTCTGATGTTCTTTATCAACCTCTGATGTCTTTACAAAACAGCTGGATTTATACTGACATTAGCTGATACACAAGCAGATTTCCAACTAATTGACTATGTTATTATCTGGTAAACCATATTCTATTTGTCAGTATTAGAGTAAAGGTGTGTAATTAAAAATTCTTTTGTATTAAGTGTTGTCTTTTAGTTAAAACAATGACAGTTAGATTGATAAGAACTCCAGTAAATTGCAAGTTGCAGATTAGTTCTTAAAACACTTAGAATGAGTCTAAGGCCACTATGTATCTATCAAGAACGATAAAATAAAGAAATATTTTTTATCAAAGCATGTTTTTCAACAAAGTCATCCTACAAAAGGCATCTGAGCTGCTGGGAAGGAATGAAGATTCAGTAGCAAAACTAAGCACACTAAGAGCACACACAGTCTCAGTGCCACACAGACAGAGGCAGTCAAATACACAGCAGGCAGTCTTCACATCAGGGAGGAAACAAGGGGAGAGATGAAAATTGGAGAAAAGACCAAAGTCAGCTGAGATCCTCTCTGCGTCTCTCAGGGTTCTTTCTCTTGCTAGCTGACATCCCTTGATTTTTAACTCACTATTTATGCTTTGGAGGGCTTCTTATCCATCTTGCCCTATTTTCATGTGTACTGTTTGAAACATAAGAATACCTCAAGAGAGTGACTGACAAATGACGACTATGGAGAGAAAACATCTAAGCTGGGCAAAGTAGCTCATTGTAGTCTTTGCTTTTTCTGTCAGAGGCAGGGCATAAACACCTTTGGGACACATAAAATAGTTCAGCTTGAATAAATGAAATAGACGTGTCTTGCTGCAGTCAAATTTCTGTTCAACTCAAGTATATTATACTAGAATCTAGTAGAATTTATCTAAAGAGAAGAAACCATGTAATCTCTTAAGTGGGTATTTCCTCAGAAGTCAGAAATGAAATCTAGGAATTATCTATCTATCTATCTATCTATCTATCTATCTATCTATCTATCTATCTATCTATCTATCTATCTATCTATCTATCTA